TGGTGTGGGTGGTGGTGTTGGAGGTGGTGTAGGTGGTGGTGCAAGTGTTGGTGGTGGAGTCGGTGGTGGAGCTGGTGGTGGTGTAGGTGTTGGTGGAGGATTCAGAAGTGGTGGAATACACCATCACTAAGATTTATTAATGGTGAATGTATTTGTATTCGTATGACGTTCTTAAGATAAATACTACACATTCTATATGCACATGAACTTTGGTCGTTGCTAAATCTTACATAATTATTGCTCTAAATGGAATAAAACCAAAGCTTATTGATATTGTTGTTTGTGCACAAGTATGTTTATGCTCATTAATTATGTATTTTTTCAAATTAGTCTACAAAATGAACTAATTGTCAAGATGATACTCTTTAATTAAGATCAATGCTCTGTTTAGTCTTTCAACTAATGATTATCAAAATGGCGATAGAATGACATTAAAATTTATACTAATTTTTCAAAATGGTCATATGTAATCAGGATTATTTCATCGGGTCAGAACCAGACGGAAAACTAAAATGACAAAAAAAGAGTACCGAAGACCGGATCTATAAATACCCAGTTTTAGACCGAATCGGACCGAAATATACTACTCCCTACATTTAAATAAACTCTTCTCCTTTTGACTTTTAGCCAAAATAAGGAAAGTACATTTATGGTTGACTTTCCAATATTATCTCTGATGTGATGGGTAAAATAAGATGTGATAGTTAGATTATTTGTGAAAAAGTATGATGTGATAGGTAGGGTATGAAAAGGTAGAAGTAAGTGGTTTTTCAATAAATTGTGGAAGTGTTTTGGGAAAAAAGAAAAAAATGAAAGAGAAAGGATTTATTGAAGCGGACCGATCAAGACTGAAAAAGTATGATGATGATAATAATATTGTTCGTGTTGTTGTTGTTGTAATTAATATTTTTATTATTACTATAAAAATTAAGCATTTCATAATAATAATAATAATAATAATAATAATAAGTCATTTCATAATAATGATATCATTATTATTATTATAAATAATAATAAAGAAATTTATCAAACGAACTCTAAAATAGCATTGAGATTATAAAAAATAGATTTTCGGTCTAATTATTATTTTAAAATGATTAAAGTGAAAAATAAAACAAATAATATAGAGAAATGTTTTGCATAAAAAGAAAAGTAAAAAATAATTCAAATTTCGTTATCAATATTAATCTCGTTAGGTAAATCTCGAGAAATTTTCAGAACACTCTATTTGTCAAAGAATGAATTTTATTTTTAAAAATTATGAATGAAATAAAGTGGTAGTAGAAAAATTAAAAGAATTGGTTTAGCAATTTAATACCACTCCCTTCATTCCAATTTAAATTTTATATTTACTATCCACAAAGTCAAATTTTAATCACATTTTTTCTAATTTTCCCTACCCATTTGAGAAAATAATATAGCATTGTTACCTTTTATTTAATTTTTTTAATTCAATATCAATTTTTATATCAACTAAATTGAAAATAACTTCAATCAAATCTCGTAAAAAATAATAGACAATTTAAAGTGGGATAGAGAGAGCAGTAATATTACACTGTATGCACCAACCATATATGCAACGAAAAAGGAAGAAAAACCACCAATCAATTTTTTTTCTCACGGAGAGAATTAAATGCCCCTTTCAACCACATCCTCAGTTTTCCCTACCCTATCTAACCATTCTCTCCTTTGCCTACATAGGGTATTTCCGTATTTCTCTCCCCTTCGGACCCAGAGAACGTGTGACGCTGGGTCGGGGTTTGGTGAACCAACTGGTCGCTCCTCTAGTTGAAGTATCGGGCCCCTTTTTCGTTGCCTAGGGTTACACCTTCGGAATACCCCAGAAGGGAATTTGATCTACTCCCCCCAATCTTCACTTTACGCCACGCCGACTCCCCTTTCGTCATAAGGCATGGAATTAGACCCAGGAGAATCTCTATAGGAACTAGTCCCTTAATAGGAGATCGAGACACAACCCCAGATTGATCGCCCTCGATAGACAACTACATAGAGGTACGACCAACGGGAGAGGTACGACCAACAGGAGTCACTCCCTATCTTATCCGATCACAAATAATGAAATAAGAACAATGCAACATTGTGCCTCAAATAAAAACCTAAATCTCTTCAATTCATACTCCATATAAAACTGTGTCTAAATTGGTACGAGTATTTATCATCATAAACAAAAAATAATTTCACACATTGAAATTACAACTCTGGCATATATAGTCAAGTCAGTTCCAATGGCAATGAAGTATAGGCATACATCACAATTGGGAGTGACATCACAACATGAAACTTCCATCTGCAGCAAGCAAATTAGGTACAAATAATGGAACAAATCTCAAGGGTCAAATTACATGCGAGATCTTCACAGTATCTTTACAATATGGACACCAATTGTTATCACATTTTGAATGCACCGTCCTGTCTATGTTTATGATTGATATGAGAAATAGAACAAGCAAGCCGACCTGTGTGTTGATACATAGTTGGGATACATTGATGTATCCCCGCCACAGCCAATTCTATGGTGTCGTCACGCCGACAACAACATTGCTCACCTGACAAGCACAAGGAATATTATTCAAATCCAAATTACTTGGGGGGAAAAAGTGAAATTAGCACTAAATAGTACTAGAACATACTCGTATGTCCTTTCCCAATGTAGTACCTAAAACTTTTTATTCCCTAAATAGTACTTGAACAACGTCCAGTGACACTGGACATTTACTTTGAACAATGTCAAGTGAACTTTGAACAGTGGTACTATATTGGAAAATTAAAACATAGGGTACTACGTTGGGTGGGTCACTATGTTTTAGTACTAATGTACTATATAGGTAAATTCCCCAAAAAAAAGAAAGCTTAGAGAATGATGATTCACCAATTTCCCGCTTCCATCTACAGAGGCGGGGTTTTGAACAACTACAGTTTGATTTTGTGGACGTGATGTAGCCTGCATCAACAGATGAAACAAGATCCAATTGACAATTTCCAATATATGACATTGGCACATACAATGGGTTAGTACTATATAAGAGGGCTCTTAAAACTCACGGTTGACGAAGGTACTGTTGGTGAAGATGTCGCAGTTCCATTAGGAGGGTGAGATGGATTGGGCACACTTGTATCTCCCACCTGCGAGACACACGCATGCATGTGCAGCTTACAAATTTAAAACATGGATAATGTCACTCAAGCATAGCAGACGCAAATGTGGCAACATAGGGAAAAATGGTATTTTGATTGCAACCGTTACGCATCACACTTCTTTTTGGTGTACAAGCACCACTTGGCTGCCTCATTTTTAATTTTGTGGTCACAGCAGACATATCAACATTCCTTTCCCATGGGGGGTCGTGGGGGGTGGGGTGGAGTGTAGATTGAGTCGGAGGGAAAGCTTTGGAGGGCTTAGTCAATGTGTTGATAAACTGAAATGTTATACGATCACATATTATGTTAACCTTATAATTTCTCAAACATATGTCAATATAGACCAAGCCCTAGAAATCACAATTGGGAGTATTTGGTTTAAGAAATTTGAAAGGGAAAAGAAAAAGAAAATGATATGGAGAAGAACTTTTTTGTTTGGTTAGAGTGGACAAGAAACGAAAAGTGGAAGGAAAATAAAATGAGGAAAAAATACACTAAGAAGGAAAAGGAGTTTGCTTCCATTTTGGTGAGGAAGAAGAGAGACACCTCTTTCTTTTCCTTCCTAAATCCTAATTGCTCCAAATATAACTTAAATGTTTTCTCCAAAAAAGTTTTCTGAGTATGACGCCTTCCGAAGAGGAGGTCACAATGATATCCATGGTGGGCTGGCAGCAGCAGTAGATGAGTAGAGTAGTGGTAGGCAGTCTTGATTGTTGATAATGGTGTTGGTGTTGGTCGACGATCATGATTATTGGAGAACATCAATTTTCCATATTTTAAAAACAATTCCCAATGCAAGACAAACACCTGAAAATCTAAAATTTTACTTTTAGATGTCATTTTCAGCATTTCATTGATGTCTCCCATTAGGGCCATTACGTATGCATTTACAACTTACGAGGAAATACTTGGGAATCAGAAAGCCAAAAATAGTTCTTGCTTTTTACTGTTTTATATTACCAGTGCATCTGAGCAAGCACAGAGGATAATAGGCTGGACATAAGCAGAAAAAAAACAATACTTACATTAACATTAGTGATGAAGTGACACAACGCACATTTGACAGAGGGAGCTCCATATGGATACATTAACATTGTGCGGCAGCTTCCACAATTAACATGAGCATACTGGTTTGGTACTGTTTGCCAGGAAAGTTTTCCATCCACATTAAAAAATTGCAAAAGAGAGATTGGCATGTAGCCCACATCTAAGTAATAAAGCCACAAGCTAAAATTACTCCCACCTAAACATTCCAGATTTTCAAATTGAATAGTCCTGTACAGATAACCTACCCCTTGTGATTGCTGTTATATGCAACTTTAAAAAGTTATGATACATATCCTAACTACCACATGATAAATTATAAAATTCTTAACTCATTATTTGTTGGGATGTTTTGTGGTTTTAAGAGTCTAAATCTACTTTGAAATTGATGATTTTTAGGATATGAATAAGAATAATACAATAAGATAGCCTTTTGTCACCCCTAATCTGTAGCGATTTTCAATTATTCAGTAGTAAATCGTCTGTTCTATTTCAAATACTTTCTAGCATTAAAGAGTAAACAAATACAAGAGAATTATTTCCCCCTTACTTTCGTGGGATCCAACTGGGATGTTAATGTTGAGAGTAATTATTTCCAAGACATTCTCCTATGAAGGCTATTGAGAGTTCTTGTTCGCTAATTCACCTAATCATTAGCTAATTGGAAAGTATTCTCTATTGTGCGCTGATTGGATGACAAGATAAGTATTCTCTATTGGCTTCCTCATTTTGAACCTCTAAAAACAAAAACCCAGTAGAATACTAGAATCCCACAAAAGTAGGGTCTGGGGAGGGTAAAGTACGCAGGCCTTACTCCCTAAAAAGTACAGAGGCTGTTTTGAGACATTATTCAGAGTTATTTAATTATAGCTGTGCTTTATCTCCCGAAAGTGGTATAAACCAGATATGAATTAAAAAATATGAAGCAAGACCTACTCCCTCCCATCCCATCCCATGAATAATTCAAGAGAGTTATCTGGAGTGACCAACATTGGCATAAAAACAGTAGGAATGAAAAAATAACACATAAACCGAGGGCTATTACTGCCAGGGTCAACCCCAAATATGAGTGGTGTGCGTCATATTCCTAACAATTTGTCCAGTTACAATGTATTAACCACTAATTCATCTTTCTTTTATCAAATCTCAGGGGCATGGTCTAATCATGAGGGTAGAAGCTTATCATGGTGTCAGATCCAAAGGTTTTTCGGTTCCTTCTTTGTTACTGAGGTCGACACTAAAACCATGATATCTCAAAATGGGGAGGTCATAGAGAAACTTCTTTAATTCCTTGGTTACAAACTTTGTGAAGGACTCAATTCTATCTCTGCCTCCTTGAGAAAAATAAAGCGGGGTTTTATACGCTTAGAGCCCATTTGAGAAGGGGGAAATGACTTCCAAAAAACCATTTTCTGGTGTTTGGTTGTTCTGAAAAATAGGATCGTCAGAAAATGAGCCTTAACTGGAGGGAAATAATTTCCACTTTTTCCGGCAGAAGACATTTTCCTTATGTCTCCTACTTCTTAGATGGAAAGTGACCAAGTTTTATTATGTAATAACACCAAAAACTAGTTTTTTTCATTTCCCAAACTTTCAACCAAGCACGAGAAATTAAATTTATTTCCCATACCTCATTTCCTGATTTCTGGAAGTCATTTCCATCTTTCTTAATGGACCCTTACTTTGTTTTACGAACCCTTGCAGATTCTGAACTTCTTTAGCAAACAAACCGGACTTTTGACAGGCCAACCCTTTTATGTGCCGACTTTCCATGAAAGGAAAATGAGCTTTGCTCCTCGGTGAGCTAGGAATTACCATGATTTGAGAGAAGGAAAAAGAGCTCGTCCTTGTTGCATCCGGAACGACATGATAAAGAGAGAGCTTCCTCTATCGATGAACAATGGATTGACAGAGCTCCTGGCATTGCTTTATTTTCCTCCTTTCCTATTAGTGAGTTCCGGCCATTTCGTTCGTAATTTATTCATTTGTACTCAACCACTTGCAAAGTCAAAACCTGTTCCACCAGATCCTATATCAGCGAAACATCCCCCCTTGCATTTATGTCGGAGACAGTGCTAGTGTGCTACGGGATTTACTTTATGTTTATCACAAATGATGAATAGGGTTGTGGCACTCCACTCACCCCAAATGCAAAAGGGCGTCGCCGAGAAGAATGTAGCCATAATTATCACAGCACCAAGGCAAGGCGAGGCGCGAGCACCACCAGGATGCCTAGTCAACTAGGCGAACGCCTGAGCATTAATTAGGCAAGAAGTCATAAATAAGACTCCCTCCGTCCCAAAAAAGGCTCTTAGTTTGACTTGGCTCTAAATGTTAACGAAAAGTGAGAATATGCGGTTGAAAGTTATGCAAAGAAGAGAGAAAGATTGTGAGCCACTTAAAGTTTTCCAAAAAAGAAAGAGGTTTTTTTTGGGACGTCCCAAAGAGAAAATAAGAAGTCTTTTTTTTAGGATTGGGGAGTAAATATAGCAACATTAATTTAAATATAGCATATAATATATTTCAACTTGTAACTTTTAGTGCTCCCTTTTAATGACATAACTAATATATATAGAATTTAATGATATAAAATTAGTGATCAAAACATTAAACATAGAAGTTAGAAAAAACTAATATCCAGCAGGGAAAAATTTCAAAAATAAGAAAACATATTGAATCAGCAAATCGCAAAACTATGAAAAAACTACTCGTATTAAAAATTAGAAAATCAGAGAAGGTTTTAGTTTTAGACTAATTATTCAATTGTTGAAAAATAAAATACAACCCGAACCAGACTAATTGCAAAACGTAACCAAGTAAAATAAATGTATTACGTCAACAAAGGAAACACACCACACAAAGTAAGAATAGTAGGAGAAAAGACGGCCACATGATGTCACATGTGGTTAGGGCTAATTACTCATTTTTCTATCTCGTGGATTTAGACTCTACAAGAGTTGGACATATTATTTCAATGAAATAAACCATAAAAGATATAGAGTTGACTGCATATAGGAAAAAGAAATTACTTTCGATCGACCATAAACCTCCACAATGTCGTGCAAGCCTTTCTCCTTCCTGCAGAGTTGAATGCACTTGGCGAGCTCCTCCCATCACCGGAACACCTAGGCAATGTCTTGATAACTATGAATGTAACACTCTTTGCTCTGCTGGACATGTCGGATCCCGCAATCTCTTTATGTAGCACTAGATGCTACTTAGCAGTGCTTTTTCACCTTTTCTTTGCTGAGTATGGGGGCAGGGGGGAAGCAGGTGACGAAGCGTGCCGTTCATAATGGTACCAATACTTCTCCGGTTCTAATTTGGGTCATGGGTCTCTTGACATGTCAGAGGCTATTTTAACCATAGGCATTTTTCCAGGAAGATGGTGTGCTTATCTTGAATTAGGTTAGGGCTGCTGGTAGTTTTTGGATCACATAGAAAATGCTTCTTTTATGCCTTGACATAGCTTGTATTCATTCAGTAATTCTACTTCTTCTTCATTCTTGGACCTCCTATCTCAATATAGTTACTTTTCCATGCTGTGTCTCAGGGAACCTTTTCAATACAATCCAGATTGCCAGCTCTTTTCATAGTTTTCCTACAGATAATGCATAAGGAATCTTTCTGTGGTGGTTCCTCCTACATAAGATTCTCCATTGTTTGCTATAAAAGTGCTCACTCACATCCTTGTTAAATGATAATCCCAATTTCCTATTCAATTCCTCTTAGCTTGCTATCACTTCGTATCGGAGCCTTGTTAAGAAAATGGATGTTCCAAACCTCCATACCCTTTTAATCCCGCGTCTTTGTCTACTACTGCACCTGATACCTGCCCAATCATTGCTCCCCAACTTGAGGATGCTTGGGGTCACAGAAAATTGGCATTCTCATTGGGCAGATGATGGTGACAATGAATGCGAGGTATGCGGAAAAGGGTCAAGCCCCCACACAAGAAGGTTGAGTTTCCCAAATTCAATGGTGGAGATCACAAGGTTGGAGAAGGCAGCAAAATACTTCCACAATGGTGGAACCCCAAAATGTGAGAAAGTCAATGTATCTAGAAGGTAACGCCCTGGATTTGTATCTTGAATAAATTCCAAGCGAATGATTGTTTATTAGGACAATTTGGTGAAGATATTGCATGAAGAGCCAGGAATATTATGGTCCTCTAGAGCTTGGTTTAAAAGAATGCACCTACATGCAGTGAATGTGATCCGGATATCACAACAGAACATTAGGGTGCAGCGATCTTCAGCATGAGTGTGCTTCATTGTGCTTCTCTTGTGTTGCAAGCTGCGCGTCTCTTAGTTGTGCAGATTTTCCTATTCTTTCCTTGATCGGAATTTAGTTTAATTAAGACGGGTGCTCTGCATCATTAGAAGGCTTGGCAAAAGCAGAATCGTACTGCAGCCACAGTAATGACTAATTCAATTCTCTTCCTAGATCGTAAGATTGTTTGAAGCAGCTCGTTTTCTTTGGGAAAGTAGTCTCTTTCTCTTTCTTTTCCTTCTCCACCTGCCTTGAGAAGCATATTTTTTTTATTCTTTTTCTCAGTTCTCACTATTCTCAGTCTTCTCTTCCAACTAAATTCAGATTGGATGACCTAGTGGGCTTATTTCTTTGAGGTAATTTGTTTCATTTTTATGTGTATTTGTTTGCATAAATTTTAATGCTTTGAGGAGCAAGTGAAGTAAATTGACAGATAAAATTTGTGGACAAAATTGACCTTTCACTTTGACAGCCTTAATCTTGTATGATAATTGCAGTCACACCTCATATGAGGGACTGGAATAGGACTGAGCTGACGTGCTTGTTTCAAGCCTGAATTTTTCATTGTGTGATGTTAAAACTGGATTGCACTGCATAAAAGCATCAATCCCACATAATATCTCAAAGTAAATGAGCGCTTAGCCGCTTATAGATGCCAGCATTAGTATTCAGTTTTTTTTTCAACTCTTCAAATAGGCCTACCCCCAGGCCCTGCATTGCTCTACTTTCAATTTATAAACATGAAATTCTTATTTCACACTTCACAAAAGGAATGCTTAAATTAAAACTAAGTGAACTGGAAAAAAATAAGAAATACATTTTGATGCAAACATTCCTTTATATGATTCACCATCATACATAGCATTAATGACAATTTTCGTATGATTTCACACATTTTCTACTCACATCACAAGTTAACTACTTAGCTGCTCATGTTCTACGCATGGATCTAAATATTTTTACCTGGCACGAGATTAACAGTATGACAGCATGAACATCTCACACTTGTGGCACCACGGGGATGCATCAGCAATGTTCGACAGCCTCCACATATCAGTTGAGCCATTTCCATTGCTGAATGAAGAAAAAGTTTTACATAAAAACCTAAGTAACTAAATACAAGAACATTTGTTGCACTAGAGATATAAAAAAATCCTCAACGTAGGACAATATGGATAAATACAACATCTTGCATTGCTAATGTGTGACACTTGGGTGAGCTTCTCTGTTTTTTGTTCTTGAACACCAGAATTTGTTTTTTTATATTGTTTTACTTTTCATGTGTGGGATCATTTTACTCTTTGTATATCCCCATGTATCCTCATCTAGTCCAAATAGAAGCATAATCATTCAATAAGACCAATCATATTGCTTTCCATGAAAACTAAATACAATAGTACCATGCTTTTGTAGAGGCTTATGCATTACAAAACAAACTACTACGAAGTAAGGCATAATAAACAACCAACAGCCTACACCGTATTAATACCGAGTGTTAGATTTTCTATTCTCATTTTCACACTTTATTTTCCAATAGAGACATGCCAAATCATACAAAATCGTAGCTATTAGCTAGGGATTGGCCTTCGAGATGTTGATAAAGATCAAAGAACAATACCGGGCATTTGAAGTGGGACAGGTGTGAGTGCATTGCACACAGCACAGCAGACATTTGAAGCTCCTCTCGGATAAAGAAGCATAGTCCTACACCCGTTACAAACCAGTTGGCTCTGCATATCTGCACTTATGAAATCAAACAATGATGCACATAATGCTGATAACATAATTGGATATCTGCTTCTTCAAGCTTAATATGCTATCAAAAAGATTCAAACTCAGGATGCATAAGCACTACAGTCAATCCTAGAGCAACGCGAATTGAACTGACACATTAACAAGGGTTTATAAGAAGATCGTGAAATTCAAATTATAAAGGGACAAATGCAGAGATGCTTACCACTGATAAATACAACTAATGTGAAGTTTGGAATGATGAGGGGAACCTCTTCCAATCTCAGGAAGCAGAAGAACGACTCCGATTGGAGATCTTAACAGAGTTTCGTTAACCTATTTATGACGATAAAACAAATTCAAAGGGAAAGAAAGGGGATATTCTTCTCCTTTAAAGCTACGTAGGGAACACGATTATGCGTTCTTTGACTTTCAGGCTAGAAAAGGAGATCGATTTCTACGAGGAAGAACCATGCGATCAATCTTGAATTGATGGGGACGCGGTGATGAAGATCTGTTATCGTTTCCCTTTCTGGATGCTCGAGCGAAGAAAGGATACGACCTGGATTTCGTAGTGGTCCTCCCCCGTCCCCACCTTACCTGGTCGCCAAACGGAGCCTTTAATATGCAGTATTCCCTATTTACGTACATCGACTGGTTAATTTTTCTAAAATAGGGGCTAATATAAAAATTTAAAACTGATTATCACGGAATAAATTGTTCATATAGAAATTATCTTAAATAAGATTAAAACATTAAAAAAGTATTAAAATAGGACTTTCATATTTTTATTTCTGAAATAGGAGTTCGTGTTGTGATAATGTGGAGGTAATTTGGCATTATACACGTGGGCACATTACTATATTTTTGGTAATGTACATGACCACATTTGGTAATGTAAATGCATTTTAATTCCTATTTCAGGAATAAAAACATGGAAGTCCTATTTTAGTATATTTTCAATATTTTACTTCTGCTTTAAGTTTTTCCCTTGTTCATAGCCATCTGTAGAGTATGTAAAAAACAGAGTACTTATTTGTCTCCTCCATCTTATTATATACCGAGTACTTTCTATTGTCTCCTCTTCCTCCCAAATTGTTTACAATATTTCAAACAATGTTTAAAATGTCCTCTCTTTTAAAATCATTATCATTAGTATTTTAACTCATCCCATGATTCTTCTCCTAAATATTACTAATTAAGATTAACAGAAAAAATGATTCTAACTACCCCTACAATGATTATAAAAACTTATTCTTCTCTCTCGCATTATTAAAACACAAAATCTTAAATTAGTTATCATAAATCTCTATGATTAAAATTTTTAATTTTAAAAAATTAAAATTCAATTATTCTTCTCCCGAGCATTGGTTTTAAAAAACATTAATGCAAAAAGAAATATTAGTTTTCTGATGATTCTGACGGGAAAGTGAAAAAGATTAATAAGGAGTATATGAGTAAAATATAAGAAAATAATCAAAATAAAACATTTATGTTCTTATCTCTAAAATTACAAATTACACCGTTCAGAAATACATCAAAAATTCTACAAAACAAGATGCGACTGTTACGACCAAGGAGGATGCACAGAACGACGACAAATGGACGAACACACAATCCAAAGAAGACCTTCACGAGGAGGATCAACCATGCGCGAGGGTGCGATGTAGATCAAGGGAAAGGAGACCCCCGACAGGCAGAAAGATTATGAAGCTTAAGACTTTTATTGTTATTGTTGTTGTTGTTGTTAGATAATTTGGATTTTCTTAAGTGAGCGAATTATAAGCTCTTTTGAGGTGTTTTTCGTTCTTTACCTTGATGCTTCTCTTGAACCGAGAGGGTAAAAAACATAATTAATTAGGATTGGGGATTCTCTATTTAAGAGATGATTTGTACGTAAAGAAGCATGATTAATACTTCTTCCGTCCCAAAAAGATTTAAACCTTTCAAAAAAATTGCGTCTCACAATCTCCTACTCATTTTTATTAAAAAACCACTTTTACCCCTTACTTTTTCAAACCCTACCTATCACATCATACCTTTTTCCTAATAATTTACACATCACATCCTACTTTTACCCATCACATCAAGGGTATTTTTGAAAAGTCAACACAAAATTATCCCTCCCTTAATTTCAACTTGAGTCAAAACGTGTAAATCTTTTTGGGACGGAGGGAGTATTTCTTAACTTCTCCCCAAACATTCCTCTCCAAACCCTAAACCTACTTCTATTCTCTTCTCTTTCTTACGGCATCTCTGTCTCCGTTGTTTCATTCTTCTTCTACCACCTCATGCTCTCTATTATTGACAAAGGGAAGCCCTGAATTCCTCCGTTGGAGATAGTAGACGTATCAATTGGTGCTCTTGTTGATTCTAGACCGATGGTGGACAAGACTTCTAGACCACGCCAGGCTCACGATGATGAACGAATTGACATTCTTCAACACACTATGCATCAGATGCAACATGATTTAGAAGCCAAGTTTGCTCCGCTTGAGGCCTTGGTCTTGGCTAATCGACCTCCGCTGCTTCCTACTCTGAACAGTTGTCTGCCAGGCGGCGCGGGCCCATAATCTGTCACAAGTGAAACATCGACGTCGACTCATACCAGCCTGCCCAAACCCAAGCTAGAGGCCCCTAAAACAGATGGCTCTGACCCCCTTTGGTGGCTTTATAAGGTACAAGACTATTTTGCTTTTTATGATACGCCGGCCGCTGAACGTCTACGTTGTGTCACGTTAATGTTAGAGGGCCCAATGGCGGATTGGTTTCAATGGCGAATGAATGGAAAGATGATCATGGGGTGGTCGGATTTTGTGGAAAAATTCAAGCTTTATTTTGATCCTTTACGTTATGTGGATTATTTTAGGCAGTTGGCGAAGCTCCGCCAACATGGTTCTGTTATGGATTTTCAAACGGAATTTGAAAAGATATTACATCATGTAACGGGCGCATCTGAAGCTAATCTCGTCTCGTTGTTCCACTTGGGTCTTAAACCGCACCTCCAACACGAGATTTATATCCTCGCCCCCAAATCCCTTTTGGATTCTTTCGCGTTGGCCAAGCAGTTGGAGGCCAAGCACAATGCTCTCTTACAATGCTCTCATACCATTTTTGCATGGATTATAGAGCTCTCAATGTCGTTACTATTCTAGACCATTTTCTTATTCCCGAGAGCGGATGAACTTGGGGAGAAACGTTACTTCACTGAACTTGACTTGCAGGCCGAATACCGACAGATTTGCGATGGATGTTTATTAGACTATATTCTGAACGCACGATGGCCACTACGAGTTTTTGGTAATGCCTTTTGGCATTACCAATGCCCCCTCGAAATTTCAGGCCTGCAAGAATCGCTTATTTGGCTCTTATTTGTGATGCTTCGTGATCGTGTTATTTGATGATATCCTTATTTATAGTCTTCCGGTGGAGTGATATGCGGAGCATCGAGAGCTGGTGTTGGACTTGCTGGAGCGCCTCCGATTTTTTGTTAAATACTCCAAGTGCTCTTTCTGTCATGAGTCAATCGAGTATTTGAGCCAAGTATTTACTCGGGGTAATCTAATTCTGTATCAAAAATCCCAACCGCGAGCAATGTGTTTCCTTATACCATTCTTGAAATGTCGCAGTCGTGTCCTGTGTTTGTCATTACCGACCCGTTGATATGGATGAAGTCACGAGCTACATTTAATTGGGGTACAGTGTAGCCTGATCGTCGAATGATCAAACCACATAGTTTTTTACTTTTCCACAAATTAAAAATATCAATGATTTTATGAAGTAGAGGAAATAATAATATATATAGGGATTGACTCCAGTGAGATGACACCTTACACTGAGATGACATGCTTCAGTGAGATGACGCCAAGCTCACCACACTAAAGTACAAAGCTCACCAATGGACAATGCAAAGCTTACCTAGAAATAAAGCAAAGCTCACCACTTTGAACACCAAAACTCACCTTTTTTTAAGTTTTGAAAATTAAAAAATTAATAAAAAATAAAATAGCAACACCGGTCAACCACCGGTCAGCGACGACGGCAGGTGGCGGAGCAGCGGCGGCTGTTAATGGTCGCGGTCAACGATCAAAATCTAGTCAACACCCCTTCATTTGATTTTATTTTTTCAAAAAAATTCAAAATACTGAAAAAATATGGTGAGCTTTGCCTTACAGTTTGGTGAGCTTTGTAGTTGTCTTTGGGGAGCTTTGCAGTGGCCAGTGATGAGCTTTGCGTCATCTGACCGTAGTATGTCATCTCACCGTAAGGTGTCATCTGACTAGAGTCAATTATATATACATACATACATACATACATATATATATATATATATATATATACATACATACATACATACATACATACATACATACATATATATATATATATATATATATATATATATATATATATATATATATATATATATATATATATATAGACACACACACTCCGTATTAAAATGAAAATTAAAGCAAAAAAAACCATACACTTCAAATTTAGATTCATTGGAACAAAATTGTCAATAATGAACAATTACCATTGCAACTATTGAGTGTCACTTAATTATCTTTAGTTCACTTTATTACAAAATTAATGTGAAACGAAAGATAACAACTACTAGGTATATATCTAAAAATAATACTCTCTACGTCCTAAAATTAACTTCTCAGTTTGATTTTTGTAGTCAATTGTTTTAAACTTTGACCTCATTTTACCAAAAAAAATACATAGAATTTTCATATAAATATGTTGGGCACGTTTGAGAATAGCGTTAGCCATTAGCGTTACCGTTTTGAAAATGCTATCTACGGGCAGCTTTTAGCATTACTGCATTAGCATTTTCAAAATAATCTGTACCTTTAAAATTTTATCAAAACGTTAACGCTAATAGATTCATTTTGAAACATATTATTTATATAATGTATATTTAAATAAAAAAGAGAGATATAATGATCAAAATGTTGCATTAAAGACCATGAAAAGTCAAATGAGAATTTAATTTTAGAACAAAGTTATCAAAAGTTCTTCAAAACAAGAATTAACATAATTATATTTTAGCAAATGAGTTGCAAAAATAAACAAATAAATTGATTAATTTGCCCATACCAATGATGAACAATAACGTAGAACTAAAATTGAGATGAGATCGGTAGTAGATATTCTTTCACCATCAAAATGAAAAGTGATGTTTTTACAATTGGTACACAATCTACTAAATACGTAGTATTACACAAGGGGTGGTGGGATTGGGTTCCATTTGAATGCCGATAATGGGATGTTTTGAAGTAGAAAGATTAAACACATTATTATTATTAGCATTATAAGTACACATTGTAACCTCTAAAGTTGTACAAATTGTGAAAGCATTAATTTCATATTCTACACACCACAGAGAAGAAGAGTTGAGCAGCTTTCTTGCATGGCAGCATAACAATCCTTGAGAGGATATAGGGAATCATGTCCTCCTAAGAGAGGCCAACCTTTTCTCCAGATCCTCAACATCAGTAGACTGAGAACTGCATCTATATTTTCAAATTAATAATAATGCAAATAATATCAAGAATTACACTGTTTACCCATTATGATAAATAAGAAAAACTATGGCTCTTCTAGATGTACGAGGGATTGATTCATCAAACAAAAAGACCAAACAAATTCCAATGTAATGCCAACTCCGTTGGTGTCTTGAGGGTCAAGATTTACTACCCAGAACTTCAGAGGAAGTAAGAAGCATGGGAAGTTTAAAATGAAATTCAACACTTGAGATTATGGATGTGATTTGAAAAAGAAATCACCCGTACCTGGGAGGAGCAGCATTCTCGACTTTCTTTGATGCAATACGACCTTTTGGGGCTGAAGATAACTGTAGGAAGGTTAAGACACTTCGATTGTTAGGAAGCGAGGAACACCCCCCCCCCCCCCCTACTGCCTGCAATAATTAAAAGAAAATGCCTTTGCACTGTTATCTTGATAAAACAACTAACCTGTGAGGCGATGTCCACACCGATCTCATCAAGCACCTGTGCAAATGATACAAAGATCAAATCATACAAACACAATAATTGTTTCAGTAATTTTTAAAATTAAATATGTAAAATAATTCAAGCCTTAAACAACGCACCTGGTTTGTTAGCTCCTCAGTTTCTTCCTCGGCTTCGTCTTTATCTAAGGTTTCGTCTATAGACTCTGACATCATCTCAATCTGGGAAGAACCAAAACCAACCATCAAAAGCATTATTGAGAGATGAGGTTGTGGAAAAGGTGTACTGAAATGTTATAATGAAAAGATGATTTTGGTGGGAATACCGTCATGTCCAACTGTGCAGACTCTTGCTGGAATTGTCTGATCACTTTGGCTTGCTTTGTGGGCGCCATTTGCTTGATGAGAGTGAAAAAAAGAAAACATGAAGAAAAAGGATGTATAAATCAACCAATTTGACAGAAGTCAAGGAACGACTTTGATTTGAAAATCTTTTGGCTAAATTTACCTTGTTCATGGCTGACATTGCTTTAGTTGCACCTTTCATTCCAGTTGATAAAGACGTGCTAGCATATAGCGCCTGCCAATGCAGAAATTAAATGTACATTAGTTCAGGATTTCATATAGTACATAGTTTTAGCTAGAACCAATGGTCATTGTAGAATAGAGAGTGCCCACCTGCGTGTGAGTTGCTACACCTCTGATCTGAGCGCGACTCCCCTGTAAAGTTACTATTTGTTGCCTCAGCCGAACCAGTTGGCGAGCTAAAATTTTAGTGGCAGCCTGACCATAAAGTTAATATATATAAAAAAGAAGAAATGTTTCATGTTTTTATTAATTAAGTGAGCACATGAAAAACGAGTTCGACTCATTGCTACTTTGTTTGCCCCAACATAAGAATCCATTCGGAACATGGAAAATGCTTAGTAAATAAAATAGGGACGAAAATAAAGTAGAAAGGTAATTTAGAAGGAAATATTTGGGAGGCAGGGGGATTCAAACTTAGTAGATAAATTTTAGATATTTGTTCAACCCATCATGGGTCATCTGGAAACTGCCACTCTATGTTTTACACATAGGGGTCAGACTGCGTACATCCAACCCCCCCCCCCACCCCGCCATGGGCGGGAGCCATTGAGGCACTGGGGTATTGTTGTTGTTGTTCAAACCCATCACACACACATAAGTGTAAAAAAAATATAAGTTTGTCAATTTAACAAAAAAAAAGTCGAAACAAAAAAGTTTCTTTTTTTTCATATTTCCCATTTCAATACCATTTTCCACATTCCAAGCAAAGCCAGAAGGTTGAAGCAATGAAACAACAAAAAGCAGTATTATACCAATATACCATAATAGCATAAAGATATACCCCTGTCATCTGCAAGTAGTTGTCTTGCTTCTAAAAAATCTCATTTTTTGAAAATGCGTTTAAAATGTCAAATAAGCCATTGAAATGAGTTTGTCAATCATTCATGTCAACAATACTCATACCCTCCTTATATATCTAAGATATGTTAGACAATTCATCATATTTTCTTTATTGAATATGGAAAGTGGAAAACTAATTCCAGACAAACAAAAACAAGTGGACAACTACATCTAGACAGAGGGAGTATATAATAAACCAAGCAGTGTATCACTGTCCTTAGTTCCAAACCATGAAAAGGCTGAATCAAGTTTTTTATTGAAAGAAAATAGTAGTAAAAGGTAACAATATGATCCTTCTTCCCAAGGTTTGGCACGAGCTCTTGCTGTCCATTTGCAATATGGTTCCTCATCCAGTCCCAAAAGCATTAGGCAAATTGTAAAGAATGAAAGAAAACTTGCCTCATTCCCAGTTTTAGCTGTTTTCTTTATCTCTGCAACTAATTTCTTCTCCTGTGAATATACATATTAATGGGTAAGTATATTTTACAGATGGGTGGAAGCATCAAGCAAGTATTTGCTTAACCAAGAATACTAAAGAATAACATGTACTCCTTCCATCCCATAAAAAGAGTCCTGCTTTACAAATGTTCAACTTCTAAATTTTAGTAAGATGCAGTTGTGCACTATTGAATAGAATCAAATATCGCTATATATATATATAGATATATATACACACACACACACACACACTTTTATTGGTTGTTTTAACTAAATTTTCACACACTCCACTTGTTTGGGACACTTTCTTTAAATGAATATTTAATATGATGAAAATTAGCTTCTTTTGTTCAAATAGAACTCTTTGTTGGGACAAAAATAAGTCTACAAAGAAGACTCTTTTTCTTTTGGCACGGAGGGATTAGTTAATTTCCTATAGTTCTGATTCAAATATGGTGCTAGAAAGCCACAACTTACTTCCATTTCTAAAGAGGCAATTTGACGTTCAATGCCTACAACAAAGTGAGAATATGTTAGGACAGTTAAAAAACCAACATGAGCTATTTTGAATTAAAGACAGTCATAAATGAAAATTATTGAAATAGATAGAGAGGCGAATTTGTGAACTGTGCTTGTAGGTGTGAGTACAAGATATATGAATTGATATAAAAGTTTGCCATCCTTCTAACCCAAATTACAATCTTTCTAAAAAAAGTAATATGCTATATAACTTTTTATTTTAATATTGTTTGGTCCGGTTCAATTTCTCAAATTTACTAAATAATTCCAATATTTGCAGTTATGATCTTCACACATTTCTTAAAGGATCAAAATCTTTGGAGCTTTGCTGAGCATTATGTTGGATAAACAGGCAAGGAGCTGATGCAAACTCTCAACACAGAGATCAACTCGTGTTGGGACTTACACAGATGAGTTAAAGTGTAACTTATACACTATCTGATATTATTTTTAATGCCAAAGCAACAAAGGCATCGTGAGAGACAGAAGTGTATATTCCAAAAAAGAATATAAATTACAAAAATTCAAATTGTAATTATTGGAAAGCTTGTGTGTGTGACCAATGTGAGATGACCTCAATCAACACGATGATGTATTTTTTTCAAATCTTTTCAATAACTTGATATAATATAAAAAATTGTAAATGGTAATATAGCAGGAAAGTTCTTTGAAGCATGCTGATTGTTGAAGATGGATGATTAATGTAGGCTTCGATAACAAAAACAAATCAACTGACATGAAACCGTTATCAATTTTAGACTTGAAGGATATGATAGAGAGTAATGCGGACATGATCGAAGCAACATCATCATCACCAACTGAAGAGGTTTAGAAGTGTCTAGGCAAGAAAAGTTTCTATTTTATTGCTTTAGTAGTGCACAAGATTACAAAATGTATAAAAAATTAGTTGTGGCAACCAAAACAAATTGATACAGAAGATGAATTATATTATTTAATTAGTTATTTATTAGTAGTATTATATAGGTACTCATGATTAGGTTTTAGTACGGGGCCCACGCCCATTAGGTTAATTAGGGTTTCTCGTATCTCTATATATTGTACTCTCGTATTATTATTATTCAATTAAGAAAGAAAATACCCAAAACCCTAATTCTCTCTTGGCCTGTGGCGTGTGGTTCTGCCACACGATCTCTCTCTTTCTCACCTTCATTCCTCTCTTCTTAGAGTTCGGAGACACTCAAAGCTCTCCCTTCTGATACGTGTTCGTATCAACTGGTGCTTTCAATACTAATAATGAATATAAAACATTGTTTTTGGCTATTGATTGCTTACTTTATTTATTTTTGGTAGTTGGATGGATCTGTTCCATCAGAATTACTTTGGTCTATAAATCAAAAGTACTCCGAAATAATTATTGGAAAAAGTAAATTTTGATTTAATCAAATGGTTGCTCATATGATATGATATTCAGTGTGTTTTATGATGAACTTCACCAAAATTTGTATATATGAAAAGGTGCACCAAATTTGCATTGCCCAAGAGTTTCATGCCATTAAATTTGATGGTGTGTTGACCCAGCTTATCTAACAACCTCACAGACTTGGTCTACTATGAATACAACATTAACTAACATGGTAAAAAATTATCCACATCATAGACAAACTTTAAAGCACATTCTTCCTAGCTTCCACAATGTACACATTTCCATTAAGCATTGAAGAAATGCTCATGGGAGCTAATCATATCAAGCCCATGTAAAGATTTCCATAATCATCTTCCAAGGTGAAATGGCATCATTCACTTTCAGTAAAAGACATGAAAGAACGTACAGATACGTCCTCCCCTACCAAAGTCAATGTGAAAAAATCACATATTCTACAAGCTTGAACACACGCCGATCTACAATTATTCTTTTGAAGCCGATTTTTTTTAAAAAAGAAATCCTAATCAGACTTTTTACTGAGTTTAGATAGGAAAGTTTCTCGAATAAATTCAGGAATTTACTCATTTCAGTTCTGCTTGCTATCTTAATTCTTATTCGGGGTACAAAAAAGAACACCAATTAATACTCCAACTGCAATAATCAGAATAGGCAAATAAAAAATCAAACAATTCCAATCATCAACAGGAGTACCTCGAGTAGCATTGTCCATTTCCCTTCTGCTGGTTCGTAGCGCATCTGCAGATAAATTCAACAGAAGGGGAAAATTGTCAATCGGAACTGAAGAAAATGATGAATAGAAACGCAAACGACTGGTATACCTTTGGGTGAAGTTTTCTTCTTGAAGATGTTCATTTCAAGAACCCTAAAATTCAGTGATGATCGAACGGGATAAGGAAATTGGGGGTTCTCTGGGAAAGAAGAGTGGTCTGTTGTTTAGCTGAATGTGGCGAGGAAAGGGTTTTGGGTGCCTGATCCCAAGGCAGTGTTTAAAATGGGAGAGAGAGAATGGGTGCGTGGAAGGGGATCAGACGATCAGCCTCGGATTTAATCTAACGGCTAGAAAACACCGACCAAGTAACCGTTATAGGCACGTAGGAAACGTCTATTCAATCTCTCGACATCTTTATTTGTGTGTTGTTGATCATAAAGGTAGGTAGAGAGTGTCAAAAGCTAAATTCTACTTCGAATTCTATCAACTGTGTTAAGAAGTAGCAAAATGTTTAGCATAAGGTCTTAGGTTCCACTCTCTTTCACCAATTTAAGATCAAAATCTAATTTATTCTCTCGGTGATTATTTGGCCAGGTCTGAGAGCTCTCGAGGATGAGACTAATCATTTATTTACTTCGCATTTTTAAGAGGATGATAGAGCCCCTAGTGTACCACTACCACCTCAAAATGTTATCAGTGAAATGATTTGGTACGACTTAGTGCTTATTCTCTTCTATTTATTCCTATTGTAATCAAATCAAATCGAATAAATAATAGCTTTAAATACAACTACAATCAGATAAGATCACATTTTGTTTCAATGAAATCAGGATCATTCAAATCAGGTGAAGAGAACAATCTCTTAGTTGTACTTCATCTGTCCCATTTTATATTACATATTTCGATTTACAATATTCCACTAAAGTTTTTTTAATTTAATTTATTTAAAAATTGGGATAAAATTTAAAAATAAAATCATATATTTAAAAACTATATAAAAAATCAAGGATGTTCCCGAGAAACTAGGGGCCCTGGCCTACACGGAAAAATTAACCATTGTGTGATAGTGAAGTAATAAAGTTTATCAAATAATTTTTAACAATAATTAGCATTTTTGTAATAAGAGTAATAAAATGTTAATGGCTTGTTTAGAGATAGCATTAGAGGTTAGCGTTTTGAAAAAGCTATCTACAACGTTTTCAATGTTAATCTGCACCGTTAAAATTTTATCAAAAATGCTAACGCTAATCGAAAACGTTATTCCCAAACGGACTCTACATTTATAGTATTATAAATTTATATTTACATATGAAATCAAGAGTAATTGATAAAATCAAGTATCAACTAATTGCCTAATTGGAGTAATTGCTAACCTCTAAAAAGAAAAAAACTAAAGAAAAAAAATCAACTACTAATTGATAAAAACTCGTTATGAAATTGATAAAATCAACTACAAATTTCTTAATTAGTGAAGCAAGTAGCGTAGTAGGCAATAATTACATTTAGGACCTTTTTATTATATATAAATCATGGTTGATTACCCTACATCATAATCCTTGCTTCTTTGCTTAGTGAAAATGAAAATTAGCTAAGCAGTCAATGGGTCTCGAAATCTTTCATAATCTCGGCTTCAAAAAAAGTTATTCCATATCACAGTTGGATTGTTTTTAGTCAAACTATGAAACATGTTGACCTTAATAATTATAGTTTTAAATAATTAAATATTATAAAAAAATTAATATCTTAAAATTATATTTTAAAATAAATATAAAATAATTAAATATAAATTATAATTAAATATGTTTCTTTCATAATGATTAGCCAAAGTGTAATATTGTTTGACCAAAAAATTCAAACTGTGATATTTTATTTTACCTAGAGCATTTTCAGATTCAAACTACAGAGCATGTAGGGGAGTACCTGCACCAATGTGTATTTAAAGTGGAAACGTGATGCTTGTATACCATGATGTAACCAAAAAATGTTGCCAGGTACCCCTATTTTGTGGTAATAATTGTCAAGTATCCCTAATTTTTACATGTACTCTAAATTATAAAAAATATACTAATACGAGATTTTCCAATCCATTCTCCATCTATCCCCCTTTCTCCGTTAAGTGCATCATCATCCATCATCATCATCATCATCATTCCACCACCACCATCCCCACTTCTTTGTTCTTCCTCCTCCTCTTCTTTTTTTTCTTTTTTTCTTCTTCTTCTCCTCCTTCTCCACTTCTTCGTTCTTCCTGCACCACTTACCCTTATTTCTTCTTCTTCTCCTTCTATTATTATTGTTGTTGTTGTTGTTGTTGTTGTTAATATTATTACCATTATTCTTATTATTTTTATTCTTATTTTTATTATTTTTATTATTATCACCATCACCATCACCATCACCATCATCATCATTATTATTACCATTATTATTGTTGTTGTTGTTGTTGTTGTTGTTAATATTATTACCATTATTCTTATTATTGTTATTCTTATTATTATTATTTTTATCATCATCATCATTATTATTATTACCATTATTATTATTATTGTTATTATTATTATTATTATTTAGTTGTTTTATTCCATTAATCTTTCACAATCTCCATTAATGTAAAAAAACAAAAAATTACTGTTTGGTACCCCTAATATTCTCTCATCCCCGAGAGCCTCCTCAGACCCGACAAGACGGTCGCTGAAAAGAGATAAATTGGACTTTAATCGCAGATGTAAAATGAACTATAGTTGCAAAGAAATACTCAGAGGGTGTTTGGCAGTGCATTGTTTTTAACAATTTAGCTTCTGCTTTGAGTGAAAGTGATTTTACTCTGTTTGGCATGTCAGCTTCTGCTTTTCACCGACATTATTTCTTACATGGAACACCGTTTCGGAGAAGCAGGTATGAGATGCTTTTGCTTTCAGCTTTTGTAGAAATCACTTTATCCATAAACTAATCACTCCCAAACACCCTCTCCATACGGAATTATTCTCTCTCTATCCTCTAGCTCCCCACTACCCACCCACCCCACCCCATCCCCCTAAATCCCAAAACGCCAAATGCTACCGTTTTATTCCCTAAAAGAATGATGTATTATTATTTTTCTAAATTATTATTGTTAATATATTAAAAATTAATATTAATAATTTTTTAATATTAAAAATAATTATTATTATTTATTACGAAGTATAATTTTCTTCTACCTCCACTATTTAATATTATTATTATGAAGTAATATTTTCTTCTTTTTCTATTATTATTATTCATTATTATTATTATTAAAAATTAATTAATAGTTTCACTATAAAATTGAAGGTACCTGACAGTTCTAAGCACAAAATTAGGGTACCAAACACTAATTTTTTTGTTTTTTTACATTAATGGAGATTGTGAAAGATTAATGGAATAAAACAAATAAAGAATAAAAATAATAATAAGAATAACAACAATAATAATAATGGTAATAATAATAATATTAATAATAATACTAATAATGATGATGATGATGATGATGATGATGATGATGATGATGATGATGATGATGATGATGATGATGATGATAATAATAATAATAATAAATATAATAATAATAATATAAGGATATGAAGAAGAAATAGGGGTTAGTGGCACTGAGTGGTGGAGGAAGAAAGAAGAAGAAGAAGAAGAAGAAGAAGAAGAAGAAGAAGAAGAAGTGGTGATGGTGGTGGTGGAATGATGATGATGATGATGATGGATGGTGATGGTGGTGGTGCACTTAACGGAGAAAGGGGGATAGATGGAGAATGGATGGAAAATCTCCTCTTGGTATATTTTTTTATAATTTGGAGTACCTGAGAGTATATTTTAAAAATTAGGGGTACATGGCAGTTCTTAACACAAAATAGGGGGTACCTGACTGCAATTTTTTGATCATGTAACACATAGTGATAGTATACAAAAGGAATTATGCTATATAATAATAACATGCACCGAGCTATTGACATTTTTCACTCGAACAAACTGATTTTTTATATTCACATACAACTATGCAAGTGTTGTTTTGTGATATCCGTACATACAACACTCATTTGTGAATTGTGACCACGAAAAAATTATGTTTGTACTCCCTCCGTCCTAAAATTAACTTTTTATTTGACTTTTCACGATCTCCAATGCGACACTTTGACCATCAATATATCAATTTTTATATAAATATATTTTATAAAAATTATATATTTCAAAACTATGTTACGAAATGAATCTATTGCTAATAAATTTATATGAAAATTCAATGTATTTTTTCATAATATACGGTCAAAGTTTAAAAAGTTTGACTACAAAAGTCAAAATGAGAAGTTAATTTTAGGACGAAGGGAGTATAAAACTAATAAAAGACGAATATTGTCTTTAGAATGAATAAGGATATGTTCTCTACATCAAATTGACTCTAATATGACTACATTAAGAGAGCAAAAACACTTCTCTTTGTGTAGTAAAGAACGAATGATGTTTGTGTTGGAAATTCAGGAGGAAAAATATCACTGCAAAGCAGCATTAAGAATTTAGTGTACGAACGAACATGAAGAAACTTGATATAGTAAATGAATCACGTGGTCACTTTCAGATTATAGTTATTTCAAGATATACCAAAATATATTAATCGGATAAGACGTTAGTATCTAGAACAAGATGGAAGTTCTATTATTTTTCAAACATACCTCGGGGCTTCATATATATAGAGTACAAACTGATCGGACACGTGTGTCAATGAAACAATACAAGTTAGAACATTCGAACGTATGCAGCTGTTACATATTGTTTTAGCAATTTTGTGCGCGAAACATCGCGTTTTATTACGAAACATTCAAACGTTTGTGTTTAATCATTCAAATCTATTGGGCTTTTTCGTAAAGAATACTGGAGATAAACATTACACTCGAATGTTTGATTTTATACAATCAAATGTAAATTACTTTGAACTTCGTTTACGGAAATCAAAAAAATTTTCATAAAGCAACAATGTCCAAAATAAAATTTTACTGAAATGACTGGTCAGCTCTGCCCCTTGGACCCCGCCAGGGGCTACCACCTTTGGACCCCACTACGAAATTTGTAACATCGTTGAATGAGCATGTAATTCGCACCACCTAACTCGTTAACAAAGTTTATTAAATTTCTCAGCTGATCTAAGAAAATCGAGATACATAAAATAGTCAATGACACTAAAATCACCAACAGTTTGTACAATATTTATGTAGGACGGACATCACAAAAATCATATTTCTATTAGAACAAAAAATAAAAAATTTATGTGAGCGTAAAAAAGGTGGGCACAACTCGGACTTTCTACATACAGTTGGTTCCGTTGCCACTGATTTTTTGGAGCGCCAGAGCGCCTCCGGTGGTGCTCTGTTTGTAAAATTGATGGTTCCTATCCCTACTCAACCCCTCACCCCAGGCCTACCCTTGCCCCCACTCCCTCCAAATTTGTGGTCATAATGACCACATTTGGAGGGGGCGGAAGGTGAGACCGGAGTGGAGGGTAAGTGGTGATAGGAACTACAGAGTATCAATTTTGCGAATAGAGCACCTGCATTGCTCTAAAAAGCTAGTGGCAACGGAACCAAGGCGACATACATAAAGTGATGAAGGACCAACCAGGGAAAATATTAGCCACATGACTGTAGAAAGTAGAGCAAAACAAGTTCTCATACTATAATAAAACATTAAAACCTCTTAGAGCGGTTATAAAGAACACCAAAAAACCAAAAACCAAACAAGGTAATGTTACATACAAAATTCTACATTTTTACAAACAACCAAGATCATCCTGCATCTTTTGGACAATTCACACTCCTTGTTGGAAAAACGTATAATCCGAAACAGACTCTTGCTTTGTGATCTGCAAGAATGGGTACAACATTCAGAGAATGTATACCGTACACCCGGTTGTACGTAAAGTTAGGTACACCCGGCGAATATTGATTTTGAATCAACAGAATGTTCGTTTTCAACCATAGTGTTCATTTTCACACATTTTTTTAATTAGAAGTTTGCCATGATGTACTAAGAGGAAGCTACATCCAGCTCTACCATATAACTTGCCCAACATTCATCATGACACATAAATGAAAAACCATATCTTTTGTACTCCTTCATATATGTATATGAACAAACAACAACAACAACATTACCCCAGTGCCTCAAAGTCTCCCGCCCATTGTGGGGTAGGCGGGGTCGGATGTACGCAGCCTAACCTCTATGTTTAAAACATAGAGCGACTGTTTCCGGATCATAAATGTATACCACTTTCTTGAAAAAAATATATGAGTGAGGGATGAACAAACCTCGATGGCATGCGAAGATGATCCTGGAGGAAAAGCAGAAGGAACAAGAGGAGCCCAAAGAAGGGGGTCTGCCAAGGGATCTATAGCACCACTGTAGTTGGTCAGTAGAGGAGCAGACAAGATGGGAGTGAGGGGATGCGAGTTTCCATTGATGTTCAATCCTCCACCACTTGTCCCACCAAATAAAGCCCCTAGCATATCCCTTCCTCCACCATCATGTACTGATGATGTTGATGATACCTCTAATGCCTTCTTCCCATAATAATCATCAGTTTGGCTTTCATTCTCTTCGTTCTCAACTTTTTCTTTCTTCTTTGAAACCTTCTCTTGCAAACTCTTGTAAGCTGCAGACTGTGACAAAATGCTCATAATAGATGGTGCCGCGGTGGTGCCTTTCTGATTGTTTTTTCCTTTGTGTGACAAGCCCAAACACGGCATCTCATAGGGTTCAGTTGGATGTACAGTCAACTCTGAAGCTTCATTGCCAGTGTCCTCAGAACAACCATGTTTTGATTCCACTAATGTATGAGCTTTGATAGGTCCCCACCACTTGATATAGCTTGACAAATCAATTTTTTGGCCCATGCAAAAACCACCTACATATGCATTCCCCGCATTGACATCATCACCTACACCAGACAAAAGATTTTAAAAACTTTCAAATGTTATGAATTCCCTCACCTTTGTACTATGTTTATTAGAGGAAGAAGTTATAGTCACCATGGCATTTGCTGCTTAAATAATCAGCTCCTTGTAAACGGCCAAATTTTGATTCCCAACGACTATTATGCAAGAGAGGGAACTTGATCAGATGCTTAGTGAAATGTGCACACATACACCGTATGACACAGGGATGGACCAGATTATAAAGTTCACTATTTCCTTTTTTTTGGACATGTCACAATAAGACCTCATTTTTCCTTATTGATATTTTATTCTTTTCATCTTTTTGAATAAATATCAATCAAACTATTTACTTTTCTTAAAAAGCATGCCACTCCTAAATATGAACTTTGTATTTGGACAGAGGGAGCATAAAACTTTACGAGTATATTCTATAAATAGTCCTTTATGATGGGGTTTTCCGTTTATAATCTCCAATTCTAAGATATTACGTTTGCGGTCCTCTATATTTGAGAATCATTCCATAATTATGTTTTTGAACCCAAATATTATTTTCCGTATATAGGACACAAAGGACTGATTATGAAATAGTTCTCATATACCGAGGACCACAAATGTAATACCTTAGAATTGAGGATTATATATGGAAAACACCTTGTTATGAAGGACTATTTATGGAATTAACTCATTTTACTAAGCTCACAAATGATCAAATAATTTTGAAAAAAAACGCCTAATATTCCAGTTAGCATTTATTTAACCTCTTCGTTTCAACTATCTTCAATCTTCTCACATAACTTTGCAGTGTAGGTACTCAAAAGTGTAAGTACATGACAGGCAGTAGAACGGTCCTAAGATTATCTGTATCCTCCCCTTCCCCCCACCCCAGCTCCACAAGTGTACATACTGAGATATCTGTGGCTTCCTCCATCAAGTACAAGAGTAGATACTAGGTAGTTTCATGAGCAACTATACCTAGAGAGTGGACGATATTTAGATATTCCTCTGGAGAAACCACTGCTCTTTCTGCAAACAAGGGCAGTAAGTTTAGAACTTTTAAAAGTAAGAGCACATGCAAATAGCAGCAAACCTTCTAAGCGATGCAAGGTATTCCTCCCTGGAAAGATTTTGCATCTCTTCAAGGTCCCTTGTATAGTCTTTTACCTGAAAGAATACAATAAGTACAGATTCATTCAATTACATGCTATAAATGCATCATATTGTACCTATTATATAGAAGTTTTTGCAATACTTCCAATAGCATTTTTACACCGTGTGCATTGGGAAACTCTGATAAGTACATAGTTTATATGGAAAGTGTTAAATGCCACATCAAATATGTGGTTTGTACCTTTTACGTAAACCTAAACTATTGTAGAACGTGTTCCTTAAATAATTACGCTCTAAGTAAATGGGTCATTCTCATTTTGGAGAAAAAATTAGGAAGTGATTGATTCAAAATTGGTTAAGATTATAAGTGCTAAACAATATGAACAATATACGGAGTACTTTATTACTGTCAAATATAACGAAAAATACGGTGCACGGGGTGGTTTTAAGTGTTGCAGAAAAGTTGAAGGAGATATGGACTGCAGAATGAGAAAGAAACTCTTGATATTAGGGAAAAGGCAGAAAGATATTGGATTTGTGTTATCTTCTTACTGGAAAATTAATGAGCGTTCCAGGGCCCCAATATTTCAAAGCGGCAAGATCATACGCCCTAGCTGCAGCTTCCTCATCATCATATGCACCTAAATAAACTGTTCCAATGGGTCGTAAACCAATCAGCACACAATTTCCAAGCTGATGTTAAAATCTTGAAACGTGCAATTCAATTTCAACAAGGTGTTTGAGCTCCACGTTAGAATTTCTAACATAAACCAAAATCAATAACAGTGAATCTGTGAGAGAAGTAGAGAAGCACCTTGTTTTCCTTTCTTATTTTGATTTTGATTCCAGGTACTTTTGTCCCAAAGATGAGCTTCATAACGACCAGTCCATCTATGCCTATTAATACATAAGACAGATTTTTCATCAAAATTTTGATAGTAAGGGTAACTCCATAATGAGGGAGGCGGAATTGCACATGCAGTCTCATATGCATTTATAGTAATGAAAAAATGGGCCACAAGACAACCATTCTAACTGCTCTGATAAGTAAAACAAGTAGGAAATTAATGAAATCTCAAGTTTCTTTCCAGATACTATGTGTCCTGGCTCAGATATCCAATGTGATGCATGGAAAGAAAAATCCAGGCACATCAAATCTAACATAACCAAACAACAGAATGCAGAGCTAAAGGTAAAAAATTCAGGGCATCAAGCACCAAGCCACCACTGCCCCCCCCNAACCCCATGATAATCCAAACTATGTTGGGGTCTGGGGGTGCTCAAGATGTACACAGCCTTACCAAATAAAGAGCCGAGACTGTTTCCATTAGACCCTAGATGCATGGATGCATTTACTGCCCAAGACTTCATAGAAAGTAAGAAGCAATGGATGTTTAATGTGCCATATGGATTTAGTCCATTATTTACCCGAAGCTTAAACATTGTAAAAATTATTCTTTTAGCCCCCATCCCCCTCCTCCTCAAACCCCAACGAAAACAATAAAAAAAACTCCTTAAGTGTGGGGTCCTCAATAGTTTGCTTGTACAATTTAGTCAATCAGCCTAATCTGGAAACTACTGAACTTTGATAGAGAAAAAAAAGGCATGGATAAGTTGTACAGTATGATTATCACTACATATCCTTTGTGCAAAACCTCACAATTTAGGTACATCTATACTATTATTCACTCACTGTAGCATGCTCTTAACCTGCGACAGGCTTTGATTATGATATAGGAAAAGAACTTCAAGCTTCACTTGTCTACCTTACCAGATATGAATTAAGCCTCTAGGGAATTAAACTACCACAACAGTCTTTTAGATGATGGACAGATAAGGCGGCCAAGGTGCCTGCTCATTAGGTTCTTATAGGCACTCCTAAATGCCTTAATGTGGCATTTTATTTGTAAACACGATTTTTATGTATGTTTTTTTCAGAAACAGTAGATATACTGTACAAAAATACATAGCTCCCATCGTCCCTAAACTATTGCCAACTTTGACCGCGCATGATAATTATGAAAATGAAAACTTTGTTGATATATACTTATAAGAAAGAGAAATTATATGAGGCACACATTGCTTTCCTTAAAAGGAAATGAGTAATAGTTTAGGGACCAATGGAAAAGGGAAGTGGGAATATAATTTATAGAGGTGTATATATGTTTAGATTGGGTATTACTCCCTCTGTCCTAAACTATCTTGAGAGTTAGTATTCACATGGTCAAACTTTACTCACTTTCTTTGCTTATTTTCATTAGTTATTTGATAAAATAATATGGTCTTGTCACCCCTAGTTTTGTAGAACTTTTGATGTAGTTTTTAGACATATGAATTTTATTTTTGAATTGTACAATTAGAACCAAATAAATTGAATTGAAAATAATTTCGGACAAACCTCGTAAATTGAAACGGGAAGTTAGTTTTAGGACAGAAGGAGTATATGGGAGAATGTCTATGCACTAGCTAGATGGTCTAGGCACTTAGTTCTTGTCCACCATCCTGCAGTTTAAACAGCCACACAGATATATTCTTTAGAAAAATACTGCATCCGTCCCACAAAAAGGTTTCACATTTCTTTTTTGTCCGTCCCAAAAAGGTTCTACTTTCCATTAATGGCATACTTTTTGTGGCTCATATTCTTTATCTGTTTCGGCACCACATTCAACCATACAATTTCAATTTTCTTAATAACCATGATAATTCTATTGTGGAACCTTTGTTGTGGGATAGAGGGAACAATATTGAGTCTATAAGACTACAAGGGAAGGCTAACAATTGCAAAGATGCAACAGGTGATTTTCTTTGTAACTTGATTTGAACTCACTTGAAACTCAATTCATCAATTAGAAATAGAGATGTCAATCCAATCCAAACCCGACCTTAACTGACCCACCCTGTTTCTAAAATACCCGAACCTGACTAGGCAAATTAAAAACCTGAAGTGGGTGGGGTCGTGTTCAGGTGGTTGGGTTTAAAGTTAGGTCAGATCCGGGTATAGCGGAACCCGTCCCGTTGCAATTCCTAATTAGGATGCATGACTGTGCAAGTCATTACTTTCAGAAATACTCACAGCTCTAGGTAAGGTAGAGACGGAAACCGAACAGCTGCAGTTGGATGGAAGTGATACACAAAGCATGTGACATACAGTGTTTATAACAAAAAAATACTTGCCTCTTTGAAAATTTCTTTCAAGTCCCTCATCTTGTTATTTAGTTATTATAGAAGAAAGACACAAATATAGGTGAAGATGCAAGAAACATGTGCATATGGCTCTACTGCAGAACTCTAATCCAATTTCACAAATTTGGAAAGGAAGAGCTACTGAACTTATCTATATGTTCTTAGCAAGCTTAGTAACCCCTAGAAATATATATTGAACTAACTTATATGCCAAGGTTGAAAATTTCATTAGTGACATTAAATTCAGTTTATCTTTAGCCAAGTTTCCCATTGTTTACCACGTGAATCACACTCATGATACAGACTGAAATCTCACAGACTTTACTAACAGAGTTGCGCTAAGCTAGTCAGCATTCAAATACCTATCTAAATGATTGAAAATCAGTCCCTTTTTTCATAAAATGGAAGCATCAGTATGCCTTTTAGCAGGAATACCTAGTGACACCGCGATATACGGAGCTTCTCTTGCCAGCAGCGCATGGGGGCATTTTGCTGATACGCTCCTTAGCCGTGCACACCCTCTCTTTCTTTGCTTTTTTCAGTAATCGGTACAATGACAGCTGATCACTTCCAATAGGCTCTGCAGTTTCTGATGATTCTACACCACAAACATCATTGCCACTGCTTTCTTCAGGTTTTGCAGATGGCTCGGAAGAGGGGGAAGCCATAACTGAAAACTATCCGCTGTGGAGGATAAATGAGAGTTACAAAATACAATCTATACACTACGAGCTCAAAGAGGGATCGATGGGGAAGCTGATGGCAAAGATATTTGGGTGTTTTTACTTTTGAGTTAGCAAACAAACAAACACCAGACACACATAAACTGGGAGCACTATAACTGGAAGACAAAAAACAGTTACCATGATTTGCTCATTAATACTGTAAGCATGTATGATTGGTTCAGCTTAAGTTTTTGAATTAATGCATAAAAGTCCACTTCTTGCAAACAACCTAATTGAAACTTTCTAACTTCCATGCAATGAAATAAGAGATTCAACCCCTCACTCCAAATTCCAAAATGCCTCGAATTTCTTCCTTTCATCACTTTCTTCATGCCTACAACTACCTATACAGTTTCTACTTGCTGACTTGGTAATAACTCAATTGAAACTGAGATTTAAGAGCAAATGAATAGCAGATATTCATATAAAAAAATCACTTAATCAATCAGCATTTGCGGAAAACCGAACTATTTGCTTCAACAGGAATGATTTTATGAATCCAACTTAGACCACTCAAGAATCTTAGCTCGTTTCACTTTCCGACTAGAAACTAAAGTAAAACTACTATTGTAAGCACAATTCAAGTCGAGGGTTCGACTTCTGATTCGCTGTCTGAAGATCAGAGAAATGGATATGAGATTATACTTCCTAGAAGAATGAAGAATGAACAAAGGAAGAGGTGCGCACCTGGAAGGATGTTCTTGGCCGGGAAATCTTCGAGGTTTTGATCGGAAATTGCAGCGGTGGGGAGCTGAGTATTGGCTTAACTTAACGTTGAGATGAAATTTGACCGCGTGGACACCGTTTTAGGAATTTCTGGTCGGTTAAAGAGATAAGAGTGACCTCAGAGAAGGGCTAGAGATTTCATAGCTCTAGGGATGAACAAGTACCAGTACCGAATTTCTCTAAAAAACCGAGAATACCGAATCGAAAAATACCGAACCGAAAAGGTACCGAGAACGAATCAAACCTTACCGAACCGAATGGTCAGTACGGTATTCAGGAACAGTACGAGGTGACGTCCCATACCAAAAATCTCGTACCGAACATATATACTAAAATATTATAAAAATAATACCCCGGAGTAATATTTTTATATTCCTTCACTTAGGGGCTGTTTGGCAACTTCTGAATAGGTAAGTGCTGAATCAGTAAGAGGTCTGAACCATTAAGTGCTGAACCAGTAAGAGGTCTGAACCATTAAGAGCTAGTATATTGCTTAACTATTCTGAGGCAAATGTCTGATCAATTCAGATAAGAGGTCTTAACCATTCAGACTCTGTATAATACTTAACCATTCAGAGGCAAATGTCTGAACCATTCAGACATCTGAACCATTAAGAGGCTGAAACAAACAATCTGAACCATTAAGTGCTGAACCATTCAGACATCTGAACCATTAAGAGGCTGAAACAAACAGCCCCTTAATAATAATTTTTTAAAAAAATTGGTTCAAGTTCTATGATGTGTAAATCAAATCATACTTTTATTTGAGTTTTAATTTTTGTGTATGAACATAAAAGTATTCACAAAGATTCGAAATACTCCTTTGTTGCCATTCATTTTTTAGTTTGTCAAATATAAACTAAGCTTTGAAACACATCTCTTGCATTTAAATATTCTTTTGTTTTTATTTTTCATGTTTTTTTTATTTAAATTCACTTTTAATTTTTAAAAATAAAGGGGTATTGTTAAATTTTAACGTGTAAAGTAGGTATGTATATTCATCTCGATTTGTACCGAAACCGATACCTAACCATCCCGAACCATACCGAACCGATATTTCGGGATCGGGATCGATACGGAGTAAAATCTCATACCGAACTGAAATATTTGGTACAGTATCAGTACGAGCTAAATATCGTACCATGTTCACCCCTAGTGAGCCCACATCTACTTTGTCGATGAGGCTTTTGAGAAGTAGAACTAGAGACTCGAGGAATTATAATATCCCCACAGTGGACGAAGTTGTTACTCTAATAGTTGGAGATTTTGATTCATCTAATAAAGAAAGGGACATCACCGTCGCAAAAACAAATAGATTCTTACAACAAATCTATGATACACACCCCGCGTTCATACATCTTCAGTACCCTTTGTTGTTTCCTTTTGGGGAGGACGAATATCAAGAAAATGTCCCTATAAGAGAATCATTTTTTCTGTAAAAAAACGTAAAGCGCCAAAGGTCTCAGCGAGAGAATTTGTTGCATTTCGTATACAAGAAAGAGAAAATGATGGTGGCATTTTGTTGCTTATACGGAGATTGTATTTACAGTTTCTGGTAGGTGCTTACACGATGGTTGAAGCACAGAGAATTCAATGGGTAAAGTTAAACCGAGATCAAGTTATGGGAGCAGTTATGAGTGGCATAGAAGAAGCTGTGATTAGAGGTGATACCCAATCGGCATCCGTTGGCCAACGAATTATTCTGCCATCTTTCTTCACTAGAGGAATGAGATATATGTTTAACAACTGTCAAGATGCTATGGCCATTTGTAGAAGACTTGGTTATCCAGATTTGTTCATTATTATGACATGTAATCCCCAATGACCAGAGATTGCAAGATATATGACAGTAAGAAAATGTAGAGCTAAAGACAGACCCGATATTGAATCTAGAATTTTTAAAATGAAATTGGATCATTTGGAGAAGGACTTAAAAAGGCCGAATATTTGGTGAAGTGATTGCAGGTAATGTTATAGTTTGGTATCTTATTTCCATTTAAATAATAAAATTAATATACTTTAGACATTGTTATTTTAAGTATCATCATTTGACTGTAATATTTGTGTGCAGGTCTGTACACTGTTGAGTTTCAAAAGAGAGGTTTGTCTCATGCACATATCTTAATTTGGTTACACGAGAGAGATAAGCTTCAATCACTAGAGTCAATTGATCGTGTGATATGTACAGAGTTGCCAGATAAAGAAAAATGCCCAAGGTTGTATGAATCTGTAACTCGCTTGATGATGCATTGTAACGCCCCAAAACATACCCTAGAATTATTAATGAATTATTAATTAATTAATCAAATTTGTTTTGATTAAAAATAAATTGTTGTTGGGCCTTGGGCCAAAATAAAATATGTTTTGATATCCAATATCATGATCCGGATAAATCTCATAGAGATTAATCCAATATGTTGACTTACTGTGTGACCTTGATTGGGAACTTGAGTGCAGACCCAAATCAAGGATAAATTAAGAAATTTATTTATGATATGAACTTTGAAATGATTTATTGAAATAAATCATGAGAATAAATAATATGAATGAAATGTAAGAACCTTTTTGAGTAAAGGTCAATTAAATCAATTTTGACTCTGTCAAAGTCAAACACCCAAAAATATGATGTCGGAAAAAGTATTACAAATAAATATAAAAATTATATCGTTGGATAGAGTTTAAATGTACGATCACAACGGTGCAAACGGATTTCA